GACTCGATGGCACCTGACAACAACAACAACAATGTGTTGTAGAGTCGGTTCCGACTCATAGCGACCCTGTACAGGATTTCCGAGGCTGTAAATCTTTACAGGAGCAGAAAGCCTCATCTTTCTCCCGTGGAACAACTGGTAGTTTCAAACTGTTGACCTTAAGGTTAATAGCCCAATTCGTAACCACTATGCTACCAGAGCTCCTTTATTTAAAAGGGGGAAGAGTCAAATTGTCAGTCAACAGAAGTGTCACACATAAAACAAATATCAACTAAATATCTGAATGAAGAGACTATTAGTTTTAACTCCCAGTGTTTGTAAATGGGAGGGAGTTCTCTGTTTTCTAGGACCGTATAAATATTGTTGTTGTTGTTAAGTGCTGTGGAGTCAGTTCTGACTCATAGTAACCCTGTATAGTGTTTTCGAGGAGTGCTGGTGTGTTTGCATTAGATAACAGTATTTTAAATCTTTGACAATGTGGTATTATGAAGAAATTGTTTTTCTTCTGTTAATGTTGATCTTTATCATTACCACCACATATCCTTATTAATCACTTGTGTTATTTTATTTCCCTCTGTTTTTTTTTTTTTTCATTTTTCTTTGATTATTAGTTTCTTTGCTATTGGCTTCAAAGAGCTAATTTATGATTAAATATATTTATCTTTTCATTGTAATGTGACCATATTTCTTTCCCCATTTACTTCATTTTCTTTTTTTGTTATTGTTCAGATGTTATGCATATAACCATGTTTTATTTTATAAAAATAAATGAAACTCCAAAGTGTATGTATACATTTAGCACATAGACTTTCTGTTCCCAAGAATGGAAGATATTTCTGCATAATGACAAATTGTGAAGTGCCATAAAGTCCAGTCATTTCGGACTCATTAGAGACCCTGTATACAAGGGTTTCTGAGGAGCTGCTGGTGCGTTTGAAACACTGACCTTGCAGTTCAAACTGACCTTGTGGTTGACTGCTTATGATGCTATAAAAACAAAGCTAGAATATTGTTGAATTACAAAATATGAAAAGGTCGAAATGATATGATTGATTTTTTTTTACACCTTTATTTAAATCATGTGCACTTGAGTAGAATTTTTAGTCCCAATACTATATTTGAAGGTGAGAGAAAATGAGTTGGTATAAATGAACTTCTTGGTCCTTCAGTCTTCAGTTGACATTTGGTAAGCCACTCTCAAAAATTAGAATGTCATGGGGTGCTTGTAATTCAGTAGTTTAAGGAAGCCAAACTGACAATTCCCTAGGACTGTCCTTCTGGGGTAGCCAATCTATTCAAAACAAGACCTTCTCTCATAAAATTTCAGATCTGGGAAATAGGCAGGCTTTTTCCTTCTGGTCAATATAATAACTTGTTTACATGAAGGGGCAGGAAAACAGCATGAGACTGGGAGGCTGTGAAAATCATCCCAGCAAAACAAAATCGAGGCCAGGTCATGGGACCTCTGAAAAGTTTACCAAGACTGATTGCTGGAAATGACTGTATAAGGCCCAAGAAGTCATGTGGTCTGGCTCTGCCAAGGCAATGGCACATCCATCACACTGTTGGTGTTGAGTACCCTGGAAATGGTTTGGACTCATAGCAACCCTGGACAGGGTTTCCGAGGAATGGCTGCTGAGCTTGAACAGCTGACCTAGTGGTTCAAACCAACCTTGTAGTCCAGTACATTAACCCAAAGTGTTACAGCAAGTTAATTTTAAGTTGATAATTTTGTATGGTCATTGAATGATGTTATAAATTTTGGGAGAAAAAAGGTTCCCAACCCCTGCTGTTTAGGGTTTCTGAGAAGCTGCTGGTGAGTTTGATCCGCTGACCATGCTGTTCAAACCAATCTTATGGTTGAGCGCTTATCCTACAGCATCACACAAGGATTCCTATGTATATAAATATGTAGAATATTTAAAAGGTAAGACCTTCACTGATTTCCTTATGGGAAATGGCAAAATGACCAAGATTACAAGACTAAGAAAAAGTTCTTAACTCAGTAGTTTCAGACTTTGAGATGCTTTCCCCAGCTTCTACCCCTCTTTACACAGTGCTGGAGGTCAAGGCCCAGAACAACCGAAGTCAAATAGTGATGGTAGTGGCACTGTATCAAAATTGGTATTTCTGATAGGCTTCCAGGATAATTAAGTCAAATTCATCTTATGTTTCCAGAAGGATCTAACATTAAAATGCTTGTAAAAATCAGGAATAATTTGCAGATGCTGTAAAATTTTGGACTATGATATCGAACTCCAAACTCCTCATCCCTTCTGTATACTACCACGGAAATATGGCTAAGGGTCCTCCATATGATAGCTTTGGTTAAGTTCAAGAGAGATAAGGCATTATTTCAACGCAGCAGAAAAAGTAGGGAATATGACTTTACAGTTTGAAAAGATAAAAGTTCGAGGAGTAACTTTTGATACTTGCTTCAATACTTCATAATCAAACCCTGTAAGTACTTAAGCTATGAAAAATACTGCTAAGGAAGCATAACACTGAGTTAATGTGGACATTGTATTCAGAGATGAAGAATTGTGAGGTTAATGTGGACATTGTATTCAGAGATGAAGATTTGTGAGATGCATACCATTGCAGGAGGGAGATCGTGTTTCTGTGGTAATTTCACCCACTCCTTAAGCCCTAGGTCTTTTTTAATACTAGGCTTAGATCCATAAATAGAAGGTAGTAGTTCTGAGACTAACTCATACCTTAAATCTACATGTTAATAAATTGTTAAGTGCTGGAGTTGGTTCCGAGTCATAGCGACTCTGTATAGCGTCTCGGAGTTGCGTTGGTCATTGAACCAGCGATTTGGCGGTTCAAACCGACCTTGCAGTCCAGTGTACATCCTACACCAGTACTCCTAAATCTAAAACTACATAGCAGCGGACAATTTAATCAGTCAATACTTTTCTAAACCAACAGCCATTGCAAGAGTCCCTTTCACTTGGAGCGAATTACAACGGAACCTAAGACATACTTTTAAAAATATAAATGTCGAATAACTGGAGTTAAGACAATAGAGTAGAACGGTGTAAAAGTTTGGTGACTTACTAAAGAAAGTTGAGTACTGGGGTCTTGATATTCTGGGGTCAAAGAAGAAACAAAAAAAAGTTGGGGGGCTGGCTGAGGGTCAAGGGCACTGTATCTCTGATTGGTGGAATCGCTCAGCCTTTTCTTTATGGCGTCACTGAGTACCTGCCTGTAGAAAAGCCCCTTCTCCGTGACGTCAAGCATTGTTGACCAATGAAAGAATACAGTTTGCGGGCCCCGAGGAGGGTTGTGGGCCCTTTTTTGTGAATGAAACTCCACGGAACAGCCCTCCTGGGATCCCCAGGAGCTGCGGCCCGCTTTGCTCCCGCGCCTCCGCAGCAGCATCTGCGGCCGCCGTGGGCACTCACGGCTACCCCGGGCAGCCCCAGCCGCCGGCAGCAGCACTACTGCCTCAGCCGCAGAGACCTGGGGGCGGGCCGGGGGGCGCCCGCAGCGACTGGAGGCGCTGTAGCTAGGGCTGCGGCGCGGGTCCCACGGCGCCCGCGAAGAGAGCGGGGTAGGTGCAGCGGACCGGGCCCTTCCTCCATCTCCTGCGTGGCCGCCTCCCGCAGGGCTCGGCCGGCGCAGGTCGTCCCCGTAACGCCGCTCCGCGCCCGCCGCCCCAAGTGCCAGCACGCCGGGCTTGTGGGAGCCTCGGCGGACGCGCAGGGCCATGGTTGTGGCCCCCTGACGGGCCGGCAGTCTCCATGAAGCGGAAGAGCGAGCGGCGGCCAAGCTGGGCCGCCGCGCCCCCCTGCTCCCGGCGCTGCTCGTCAGCCTCGGCTGGCATGAAGAAGAGCCGCAGCTCCACGTCGCCGGAACTGCACCACCTGGACCACCAGGACGACCTGTACCTGGACATCTCCGGTGAGCCAGCGAGCGCGTGGCGGGGGCACCCGGTCTTAGCCCACCCAGCCAGGCTGTAGAGGAGCCTCTCCCTGGCTGTCCGACACGCCTCCACTCCACCAACCCCCCTCCCGCCCCCTCCTTAAGCCCTAGCCTGCCACACCCCCTTCAGCTTCCCTGTTCGGGAGAGCGCTCACCCCACCCCTGCTTTTGTTGCTCGCTGTAACTTTACCCATTTTGCACCTATCTCCCTCATCAAGATGGGCCAAGGGTCACCATTCTAAATGGCTGGCGTCAGCTCAGCACCTGGAATGTCTCTCTCTCTCTGGCTTTTTTTAAAGTTCTTGTAGACAGTGAGTGCTAGAGTTTGAGGCACGTTTGACTCAACGTGAGTTTGAACCTCTGAATTAGCGCTAAGGATTTGCCGAGCGTGCTGAACGCACTTGGTGCGGGAGCTGCCCTGTAGGTTTGGCGTTTGACAAACCACTCAGCTGCTCAGTAGGAAATCGAGCGAGTCTCCAGTGGTGAAGCATTCCCGGAGCTAAACCCGGAATCCCAATCTTCTTTCTCTCTGGGACTAATTTCACTCTGCCCTTCCCCAGAGCTCACACACCTGTACACCCCAAACCTCCTAGGGACAATCCCTCCTCCAGGGCTTGGGGCAGGAATGTGTCACGGTGATGGCCGTTTGCCACTTGAAAAATCTTAGCCGGAGTAGGTAGGAAAGCCACTTTTTGGTAGCTGTATTATTAATGCTGATGCTAAAATTCAATTAGCAGCTACTAGGTTTGCTAGGATTGACACCAAGGCGTGTGAGGGCATTAAATGAGATGATGTGTGTGAAAATGTAAACAGCATATTTGTATTTGGTTTTAAGGGAATCTGCAGTCTTTAACGTGGCGGAATATGCAAAGCTAGGCATGTGGGATTTTCATGATCTGCAACCTGCCCTGGCTGCAGATAAGTCAAGTAAATTAATGTGGTCAGAATATTAGAAAGTGTTTAGACAAACAAGGAATTTAGTAGAAATTATATCCAGGAATGAAGGACAGTCTGGAAACTACGGTCCTTTTAAAACAAAGTTGAGACATGAGTGAGGAAGAGAAAGGAAGAAACTGCTCTAAGTACCTGTTTTTGACCAGAACCTGTAAAAGAAAGAGGGTCTGGGATTCCAGGGTCCAGGATACGGGCTGCTACTGCGAGAGGTGAAGCCATCTTGAACCAGATAAACAAGGTTCCCTCATTGTGTACACTCCTGGGAGAAGGCCTCGCCAAGGGCCGGGTTGGGGACTAGGTGAATAGCCATCCCTAATGCCTTTTGTTATTTACACCCTCGTAAAAGTAGTTTTTAATGGCATTTAATTACATTTTAAGACAAGAAATGTTAAGTATCAGGTACAGAATACTCATTCTGATGGGACACGGATGTATACAGTAAAAAGTTGGCCTGCCTGCCTCTGGGTGCCCTTCCCCAGAGGCCGCTACTGTTTACAGTTTCTTGTGAGTTCTTCCAGAAATAGACTATGCATACAGACGTATGTATGCATTTTGTACCATCTGAGTACACAGTGGCATACAACACATTTTGCACATTTTTTTATTTTCACGCAGAATGATGGTTCTTTATGGTTAGTATATAAAGCTGCCTCATTTTGTTTTTTTCCACATTTGTTTTTAATGACTGCTAAGTCTTCTGTCTTTAAATAGCTCCCTATTGATGAACATTTCATTTATTTCCAATTCAACCTTTTGACAGCAAAACCATTAGAGTACATCTTTCTCTTTCATGGAGATAAAATAATGTCACTGGCCTTCATGAAGCAGTGACCAGTGAATTGACTTCAGAAAATAATCAGCAAGCTGGAAATTAATTTATAGTGACGAAAAAGTTGCATTGTATAAAATCACAATGCTGTTGCTCATATTACAAGCCAAAGTAATGAAAGAATCTCATCTCACTATAAGATAGCTCCAAAGGAATAAGGCTTTTCTTGAAGTGTCCTTTGGTGATACTCTAAAAATGACAATGATTCTATTTCAGTGTGATGTATAAGACATATTAAAATCATTTTGGATGTAGAGTTTAGATTATTGGGTCTGATTTTGTTATTGTTCTGTTGGGGCCTAGTTCTCAGCAAATGGCAACTTGGATCTGTCCTTTCCAACTGTTTTTGGGTTTTGTTTTTTTTAAATGTAAGAACGTACATGTTTGTTTGTGTGTGTGTTTATTTTTTAAGCTGAACATTAACAAGAGAAGATATATGGAGAGAGTTAGTCATCCTCCCCTAGTTATAAGACTTTCCCCCCACTTCAATTTTCTATGCATTGGAAAGATTCTAGAAATTGTGTCATTTTGGCCAGAATAGCTTTCTTTTTAATGGTGTTCCATTGTAGGCTGAATTGTGGTTTATTTAATGGTTGTTGCTGCTAAGTGCCATCAAGTCAAGTCTGACTCTGTATAGGGTTTCCCAGTAGTGACTGGTGAGGTTGAACTGCCGACCTTGTGGTTCAAACCGACTTTGCAGTCCAGCGCATTAACGCACAGCACCACATCAGGTCTGCACATTTAATGGTAATGTGTTTTTTTTTTAAAAAATCTGTATTGCAAATGGCTGTAGTAACAGATGTATACTTACCTGCATACATATGTGACTATAACTGTATGGTAGATGTCTAGAAATGAAAATGTGAGGCCCAGGTCATATGAATTTAAAATATTATACTCCTTTCCCCACTTGAAAAAAATCTATTAGCAAAAACTTCATCTACTGAAATATTATATAATATCTCTGCGAGGATGGGAGGATGGGGATGCAGGCAGAGCTTTGAAATTGTATAGAATTTGATTGCCAATTAAGACAATTTGTTTTAAATATCTTTACTTATTTTGTGTTCACCTGCTTTTCACTTTTAAAATAACTTTAGGCATTAACTTCTGAAAAATAAAAAAAACCTTAAGGCAAGTGTTCCTTTCTGACTTAAGGAAAGAAACATTTTACAGATGCTTTTTGCCTACTCAGTTCATCAAGCTATGGGCATTTGGGTTGTTTCTACTTTTTGCTTATTATGAGTATGCTATTATAAACATTTGTGTACAAGTTTTTATGTTGGCATATGTTTTCAGTTCTTTTGCGTATACTCCTGTGTACCTGAGAGTAGAATTGCTGGGTTACATGGCTAATTTTTGGCAGAACCGCGAGACTCTTTTCCATAGTAGCTGCACCACCAACATTGTATGAGGATTTTGTTTTGTTAGCATTTATGTCCCCACTTACTATGGCATTCTTACACATGGGATTGGTTTGTAGAAATGTATGCATGTTGTCACATATTCCCACCATGCCCTTAAATACCTTGACTGTTTGTTTTTTTACTTTTATCCTTTGACATTTATATTGCAAATTATTTTAGCTGTAAATTGAAATCATTATAGATCTCAGGATATTTCATGTGTGTGTATGTATTTAATAATCAACTGTGTTTGGTATCATTTCTGTCATGTAGTCCTTTGCTGTGTGGTCACTATTGTTTAGTGTCTAAGCAGACTGATAGGGTTTTATTTTTAGTCTGAACCACTTAACTTATCTAGCCATTCATCCAGCTCCTGCCATGTGTAAAGACTAAATATTTTACTTACGTTATATTCCTGGTACACCTCCAGTGAAGCAGGTGAAGGCCATAGATCTTGTAAAATATAAACTGTATACATTAATGCTGATAATAACGGAGCCAAGACAAGATCTGAATGAGTTGGTAAGAGTCAAAGAAATTGGGGGGTGGGGGGAGGAAGGGGTTGGGATGGTTGAGGGGAGAGAAGGCTCTAAATATACTTGGAACTAGATAATTCTAAAGATAGTAGAAATGCCCAAGAAAAGCAGTTGGACAAAGTCAGACTTTGGATTTTCCCATGAACTTCCTTGAGACTAGAAGTCTAAATCTTTAAAAAAAATTTTTTGTATTCCCAGCCCTTAAGTAGGGCCTTCCATAACTATTTTCTGAATTAATGGAGAAAAAAAAAAAAAATCTTGCTGTGCAGCAAAGAGGGATGAGCAAATGCTACAGAACACATTCTTCTTTAGTAATAAGAAAAAAAGGGTTAAAGATTATAACACTACCATGTGATATTTGTTTGATAAGTTTGATAATTGTTTGATCCAAGCATATATTTGGCACAGTTTCGATTTACTCTTTGATTTTAAGGATTTAACTAATAAATCGGTAATTGAAAAGCCAAATCTACTGCCATCATATCAGTTGTGACTCATAGGAACCCTATAGAACAGCGTAGAACTGCCCCTAGGGTTTCCAAGGCTGTAAATCTTTAGGGAGGCAGATGGTCACATCTTGTAGGTAGCTACATCTTTCTTCCAGAGAGAGGCTGGTGGGTTTGAACCACCAACTTTTTTGTTAGCAGCTGAGAGTGCTACCACTGCGTGACCAAGGATCCTTAAATAGCTAAAAAGATTCCTTGCCCCCCTCCTTTTTTAAAAAAGGGTTTCCAGTATCTACCATGTTATTCTTTTAAAAGAGTGTCTGTCCAGTAATAATTTTGTTGGAGATACTGTAGGCCCAAGTAAAGTTTGCCATTTTAAAGCACTGATTAATGGTGCTGTATTGGATATTCATCAAATAAAATTAAATAAATACTGTGCACCATAACCCATTTCTTTTTAGTACCTTTAAAATTCATACCAGATAATCATCAGACAGCAAAAATTAATTCATTAGTTCAAATAGCATTTACTGAATGCTTATTATGCATATTCATTGTTTCCATTATACATAAACATATTTTTTTCATGGCAAAGGAGTGCTGTTATATAGGTCAGTAAATCAAGGAAGAGTTTCAATAAGTAAAGTTCATCAATGTTTGTAGTGTTTATCTTCCTTCTTGCCTATGACTTACTCCTTTATTCACTCTTATATTTGCTTATAGTGTAAATTTCTGTTAATTTAGTTATTTGTTTAGTTCCTCAGTCTTTTTATGTACAGTGTTGTCAGTGTTAGTTATTAGCCACAAC